GTGTGCTTTCTTGACTGTAGCATCAACGTGGATGGAAATTGATTGTTGTTGATATTTACTCTCAGTAACTTGAAGTTCTCAACTGCCTGCACCTCAGCCCCATTGATACAGACAGGGGACGTGTCCTCCACTCTGCTCCCTAAAGTCGATGACCTGCTCCTTCATTTTTGCTGCAATAACCTTCAATGTGACAATTTATCAAATGCCTTCTAGAAATCTATGTACAGTACATCTCCTTTATCCGTGTGTTACTTCCTCAAAGGACTCCAATAGAATGGTCAAACAGGGGTGGCACGATGGCTCAGTGGTTATCACTGCTGCCTCACAGTGTCAGAGACCCAGGTTCAATTCTGTCCTCAGGGAACTGTCTGTGTGGAGTTTGCATATTCTTCCCAAGTCTCTGTGGGGTTTCCTCCAGGTGCTCCGGTTTCCTCCCACAGTCCAAAGATGTGCAGGCTAGGTGGATTGGCCACGTTAAATTGTCCCATAATGTTCAGGGATGTGTAGATTAGGGGGATGAGTCTAGGTGGGATGCTCTCAGAGTCAGTGTGGACTTGTTAGGCCGAAGGGCCTGTTTCCACACTATAGGGATTCTATGATCTATGACGTCTATGAGTGCCCTTTCACTAAACCATGATGACTCTGCCTGATTACATTGAACTTATTCAAGATGTAAATTCCTTAGTAATAGCTTCTAACGTTCTCCCAATAATAGATGTTAAGTTATCTGATCTGCAGTTTCCCGCTTTCTGCCTTCCATCCCTTTTTTAATAAAGGAGCTATGTTGGTTCCAGTCTTATGGAAACTTCCCCAAATCAAGGGACTTTTGGAAAATTGGAACCAAAGCATTAACTATCTCACTCACTGCTTCTTTTAAAACCCTAGGAAGAGGTCCAACAGGACTCAGGCATTTATCAGCCCTCACGTCCAACCTGTTGGACTCAGTTCCATTTGTGATTTTCCTGAGCTTCTCCCTCCCATTTTCTGATTTATTGCTGCTTCTAGGGTGTTAATTTTATCCTTTATCGTGAAGCCTGATGTAAAAACACAGTTTAATTCATCTGCTGTTTCCCTATTGTCCGTTATTAATTTTCCAGCCTCACTTTCTATAGGATAACACTTACATTGTTCACAAAAACAGAAATTGCTGGAAAAGCTCAGCAGGTCTGGCAGCATCTGTGGAGAGAAATCAAAGTTAACGTTTTGGATCGAGCGACCCTTCCTCAGAACTTACTTTGTTAATACATCTCTTCTTCAACTATTTACAGAAACTTCTACTATCCTGCTTTAATGTTTCTGGCTAGCCTTTGCACATACTGCAATTTCTCCCTCCTTAATAATTTTTGACCAGTCTTTACTATTTTTATATATCCTGTCTAATCTTCTGACGTGTCACCTGTCTTTGCACAATTAAACGGAACTACTTAGTTCTTTTATTCAATATTATATTTAGTCATATTTTTATATATTTTATTAATGTTACCACCATTTCTAAACAATGCTGAGACTTAAGAACAGATTAGGCCTCAGTCACTTCCGAGAAATTCATTTCTCCCATAGTACAGTAAGAATCAATTTTAAGGCTGTAAACATTGAATATTTTTTTTAAAATCCAGCCTCAAAAGTAAAGAATTCTGCAGTAAAGAATTCCACAGAATTCTTCCCTCTGAGAGAAGGAATTCCTTTCCATCTCCATCTTACTTAGGTGACCCCCTTACTCTGAGATTATGTTTTCTAGTCCTGTGGTTAGTTACATTCAAGCACTAAGTCATATTAAGTTGACTAGTTTTACGTACTCCTATGATAATAGGCCTATCTTGCTCACTTGATGGGGATCCAGTTTTAGCTGATTCTTAAAAGTTGATTTTTCAGATATGTTAAAACCCTCTTTAAAAACATACGTAAGAGCATAAGAAATGGGAATAGTGCTACTAAGCTCCTCAAGCCTGATCCACCATTTAAAAAGATCATGGCTACTCTAACAAAGGCCTCAGCTCCTCTTTCATTCCAGCTCATCATAGCCCTGAACTCCCGATATTTCAAAAATTTGTCTCCCTCCTCTTCACACACTTTCAACGATTAATTAGCATCCATTACTCTCTAGGGTGATTTAAGACAGAGATATATAGGTCTTGATTGTCGGGGGATCAAGGGTTACGGGGAGAAAGTGGGAGAATGGGGTTGAGAAACTTATCAGCCATGATTGAATGGCGGAGCAGACTCAATGGGCCGAATGGTCTAATTTCTGCTCCTATGTCTTATGGTCTCACGGGTAGAGAATTCCAGACATTTGTTATCCTCTGGCAGATAAAATTCCTTTGCACCTCAGTTGTAAAAGAGTCCTAGCAGTGTCTAACTATATCTCCTAGTTTGGATTGCCCCACTAGCAGAAATATTTCTCAACATCTACCCCGTCAGGCTCCCTCTGAATCATGGATCTTTCAATAAGATCACACCTCATTCTTCTAATGTCTAATTTACAAAAGCTTAAATGGTTTAGCCATTCTTGATAGTCAAGCTCTTCAACTCAAGAATCAGCCAATTTTGAATTGCCTCCAATTCCAGCACATCCCTTCTTAAAGGACCAAAACTAATCACAGTACTCCAGGTGTGGTCTCACTGTCACGCTGTACAGTTGTAGCAAAATTGCCCTGTTTTTAAATTTCAACCCCTAGCAAGAAAGACCAAAATACCCTTTACCTCGTTAATAACATGCTAACGTTTTGTGTTTCATGCACAAAACCATCCAGATGCCTCTTTTCCTCAGTTTTTTGGAGTCTCTCTCTCTCTTTTAAATAAAGTCTATGTTTAGATTCATCCTACCATAATGCATGAATTCGCACATTCCTACATTACAGTCATCTGCCAAGTTTTGGCCCACTCACTCAACCTATCTATATCTCCTTGTAGGTTTCCTTATCTCATCATCACAACATGCGCTCCCACCTATTTTTGTACCATCAGAAATTTGGATACATTACACTTTTTCCTGTCCTCAAGTCATAATGTGGATAAAAAATAATTGAGGCCCTAGGACTAATCTTTATGGCATTCCACGCGTCTTGCTAACCTGAGAAAAATCATTTCTCCTGACTGTCTGTCTTCTGTGCATTAACCAATCCCCAAAACACATTAATACATTAATACATTACCCAAAGTACAGTGTGCTTCCACCTTGTGCTATAAATTTTTATGTGACACTTTATCACATACATTCTGGAAATCTAAATATGCTGGATCTACCAGTTTCCCTTTTATCAGTTCTGCTTTTTGTATGCTCAAAGCACTCTAGCAAATTTATTAAACTTGATTTCTCTTTCACAAAACCATATTGACTGACTGGGAACTACAGAATTCAAAATTTGAGTTTAAAGCCAACTGCAAACTAAATTATATTTGTACAAAATAAAAACTTAGACTTTCTTACTTAACATCTGCGCACACTAGGTCAAACTGAGCTTATTTGCTGAATGTATATTCTCAAAAAAAAATGCCCTCGGTGACTCATTTATAGGGATTCAGCTGAAGCTGGATCTTAATCAAGTTGCTTTTTCACCAGACTCCCTCTTAGAACCCTATGTAAAGCTGGTGATCACATAATTTAAACAGTTGATTTCAGTTTATGCTAACTACACGCTATAAGCTATATTAGATTTGTACAAAATAAACATTTAGACTTTCCTACCTAACAACTGAATGTGATCCTAGGTCCTACATGGTAGTTATATAGTAATTAAGGCATAATTTGGGGAGCATTTGTTTGGGGATATATACGCATATAGGAATCACATTATTGAGTGGTATTAGAGTTTTGTATTGTGTGAGATGGAATAAAACTCTAATTAGAAAATTATATGCCAGGACTCTGTCTGACCAACACTTAGCTTCTTGTGTTAACATTCCTTGCTCTGTGAACCTGGAAAAGTGCATTGGCATAGCAGTGTCATCCTAAGAAAAAGGAGGTAGCATCACAAAAAGAAACCTTTGTGGCAGCAACATTCTAGAAGTCAAAATTGCAGGTTCTAAGGCCCTGCCATTTATAGCTATTTTCCTAAGTCCCAATTTCCACAAAACCCACTTTTGTTACCCTACCCCAGTTCCAGATAGCTCCTCAAATGTCTCTTTCATTCTAAGTGGCAGTCTTGGCTCAGTGGTGTTACTCCTGTTGAGCACATTGTTTCAGCTGACATTCCTGTGCAGTCCCGAGGTTTTATCATGTGGCTGAGATGTTAAACCAAGCCCAAATCTTCCCTGTCATTGATATTGCTTCAAAATAAGGTTCTCCCTGAAATCCCGCCAAATATTAGTTCTCAGTTACAACCACCTGAAATAGGTTCGCTGGTCATTATCGCTTTGCTATTTGTGGGAATTTGCTGTGCAAAAATTGGGTCCTATTTCACCTGCACAGTAAATTGGGCTGATGGTGTGTTATGGCTCATTCAGAAAGTCCAAGTTACTGTGATAACATGTATGTTTTTATGCATGCTGTAGACTGGAGCTATGGATAGTAATGGCAGGGACACCAACATTGAACCGAAATCTCTTGTCCCCTTACCATTTGCCATTGGTATGTTTTGGAAGGACTTGTATGTTGAAATCAAATATTTTGGCCACATAAGAATGCGTCATCCTTGGCCATCATGTCCTGGTACTTAAATCTGAAGTTTCTAATTTAAAGGCAGAGTCACCACTGAATCACTACAAGATTTCCATAAAACCACAATAGCTATATTAAAGATGTGATATATTGACTGTAAAGGGCTTTGGGATGCACAGAGGATGGAAAACTTGCTATCTAAATGAAAATTCCTTTTTTTTCCATTTCTTGCTGCGATTTGATGTCTCAAATGGTTATATCTTCATGTTAACAGCAATTGTTGTCTCTCTGTAAGTACTTTTCTTTAAAAACTGGAAATCATGGTAACTTCCTGTGCTTAGCAGTCATTAACTCTGCAAAAAGCCAAAAACAAAAACGCTTTAAAATTCTTTCAGTTACTCACCCCTCTGCAAGATCCTTCCTTTGTGGTCAGTTAGAAAACTGTAATAACATCTTACATCTGTTCCAGCCACACGTTGTTAATCTTTAAATGAGGTAAAGATAAAATCGTAACATTCAGCAGATTGGGACCTTAATCTTGAAGCCTATCTAACTTAGATAGCTCCCACCAAGATCCAGATCTCCCAGCAAGAAAGTCAGCGTAATAATTCATTCTGATGCACTCCTTTACCTTGCAATGTCAAACACTTGCAGGGTTGCGACCCAGCCAAACCTCAGTGTCAAAATAACAGCACGAGTGTAGGCGCAAACAAATGCAGGATCGGCTAAGAAAGATACCTCCACTTGTAGGGGATATGGAAATATCTGTTGGGGAAAAATGCAAAAGAACAGTGTAAAACATTTAAAAATAATTTAGCTTAATACAAGATTCATAGGGGCAGCATGGTGGCAATCACTGTTGCCTCACAGTGCCAGGGACCCAGGTTCAACCGCAGGAAGTGCTACACCTGCCCCCACACCTCCTCCCTCACCCCCATCCCAGGCCCCAAGAAGACTTTCCACATCAAGCAGATGTTCACCTGCACATCTGCCAATGTGGTATACTGCATCCGCTGTACCCGGTGTGGCTCTCTCTACATCGGGGAAACCAAGCGGAGGCTCGGGGACCGCTTTGCAGAACACCTACGCTCGGTTCGCAATAAACAACTGCACCTCCCAGTCGCGAACCATTTCAACTCCCCCTCCCATTCCTCAGACGACATGTCCATCCTGGGCCTCCTGCAGTGCCACAACGATGCCACCCGAAGGTTGCAGGAACAGCAACTCATATTCCGCTTGGGAACCCTGCAGCCCAATGGTATCAATGTGGATTTCACAAGTTTCAAAATCTCCCCTCCCCCTACCGCATCCCAAAACCAGTCCAGCTCGTCCCTGCCTCCCTAACCTGTTCTTCCTCCCACCTATCCCCTCCTCCCACCTCAAGCCACACCTCCATCTCCTACCGACTAACCTCATCCCGCCCCCTTGACATGTCCGTCCTCCCTAGACTGACCTATCCCCTCCCTAACTCCCCACCTACACTCACCTTTACTGGCTCCATCCCCGCCTCTTCGACCTGTTTGTTTCCTCTCCACCTATCCTCTCCTCTATCCATCTTCTATCCGCCTCCCACTCTCTCCCTATTTATTTCAGAACCCCCTTCCCCTCCCCCTTTTCTGATGAAGGGTCTAGGCCCGAAACGTCAGCCTTTCTGCTCAAATGATGCTGCTTGTCCTGCTGTGTTCATCCAGCCCCTGCAACTTGTTGTCTCAGATTCTCCAGCATCTGCAGTTCCTACTATCTCAGGTTAAAATCCATCCTAGGTGACAGTGTAGCGTTAGCACATTCTCCCCGTGTCTGTGTGGGTTTCTTCCGGGTGCGTCAGTTTCCTTCCACAGTCCAAAGATGTGCAGGTTAGGTGGATTGGCCATGCTAAATTGCCCAGAGTGTCCAGGGATGTGCAGGCTAAGTGGATCAGCCAAGGGAGGGAAATGTAGGGTTACAGCAATAGGGTAGGAGGTGGGTCTGGGTGCATTTCTCTTTGGAGGGTCAGTGTAGATTCAATGGGCGAATGGTCTCTTTCTACACTGTAGGGAATCTATGATATATACTCTTGAGGCAAAAAGAATTATTTTCACCAAATAAAACAGCCATGGTCAACAGAGGAGAAATTGTAATCTAGCGGCCTAATGATCTAGGGACTTGGGTTTAAATCCCATCAAAGCAACTGGTATAATTCGGGAGTCAAAGGCTTTTACAGTTAGGTGGGAATATGGAGTTGAGGTCACATTCAGATCAGTCCTGGCTTTATTGAGTGGTGAGCAGGCTAGAGGGGCCATTAGGCCTACTCCTGATTCATCGTTTCTATGTGTGTTTTTTTCCCTTTATCTATTCATTCATGGGATGAGGGTGTCACTAGCTAGGTTGCATTTATTGCCTGGAGGGCAGTTAAGAGTCAACCACTTTGCTGTGGGTCTGGAGTCACATGTAGGCCAGACCAGGTAAGGAAGGCAGTTCCTTCTCTAAGAACATTAGTGAACCAGTTGGGTTTTTCCTGGCAATCAACAACAGATTCACAATCATCATTAGATTCTTAATTCCAGATATTTATTGAATTCAAATTCCACCATCTGCTGTGGCAGGATTCGAACCCAGGTCCCCAGAATATTATCAGTCCAGCAATAATACCACTAGGCCTTCGCCTCCCCATGTGTGTTTATGTGTAACTAATAGAAGATAACAGCAAATAAATGTAAAAAATATACTGCACTGCAACTAATAATGTAAATCGAGTGGATTGAGAGAAAGAACAGCAAAGGTAATATCCTGGTAAACCTCGACTGCACCCTCTCCAAAACCTCCACATCTTTCCTATAGTGCAATGACACAGTACTCCAAATGTGGCCTAACTACATTTTTAAATAACTGCAACATGACTTGCCACCTTTTATACTCGATGCCCCAACTGACGAAGGCACGCATGCTGTATGCCTTCTTTACCACCCTATCCACTTATGTTGTCACTTTCAGGGAGCTATGGTCTTGCACCCCAAGATGCCTCTGTATAAAGTAGGGGAAGGTAGAAAATTGTCAAAATAAGTCACCTTCAGACATAGTGTTTCTTTTTATTTCGGTGCTAGTTCAAGTTTGTGCACTGCAGCACCGAAAAATCATTTTATTTGATTGCCCAAAGTAGAGAATTGCCAAATATCAGACATTTGTCAATTTTTGAGCTAAGGTTTTTGTATTGGTATTTTGGGATCACCTGCACATTTGGCTCAAAGAATTCCCTTCTCCTCAATTTTAGATTACAATCACTTCAGAGTAGAACTTTGTATCCCAGCTCTGTCAGCAGTAGTGAGATGTGGAACTAATTTTATCCGAATTGGATACAGTTAATACAGAGCATGTCTGCTAGCTGGAATGTAATGTAATTCTTGATGTGGCAAGTTTGAAGCCCAGCTAAATATTTATTCTTCGCTGTGTTCCAGTTTTAGATCCTCATGCAGTTCTTTAAGAAGTAAAGAATTAACTCACAATTATTTAAGTACCTTATCACTTTTACAAAACATTCCCGGAGCCTTTTAAAAGCAATAACATAATTCTCACCATGGCTGTAACATAGGCAAATGATTGCACACAGCTAGATCCTGGAAACAATAAAAGGAATGAGCAATTGGTTTGGTTATGTTTACAGCTGAATGTTGGCGAATTCAATGTGCTTGTCTCTGAACGACCCAATGAGATAACTTAGCAAGTCTCTCAGTTATATTAGATTGATGGCACCCGCAGCTCAAGCAAATAGCCCGGTAGCACATTCACAAAGCAACTACAGATTGGTAATAAATGCAATCGCTGGCACTCATATCCTAAAAAAGAATTTTTCTTTGCAAAAAAAAGGAGGGATATTGACCAGGACCACTTTGAAGCTTACCTTTTATCTTACCAGAGAGGTGGATCATTGGTTTGCAATCTCCATCCAAAAGACAGCTTTTATGCGAGCTTCATTTCTGTTCTGTAAGACCTAGTGTAGGACTTGAGCCTGCAGACATTCAACTAATTGTAAAGGTTCTTCAAAATCAGCCTAGCTGTTCCCTCAAGACACCGATACATTCTGTTTTTGCTCAATGGTTGAGTTTTACCTTAAACAACTAGAGCTGTACTGTGGATTATTAAATCCATTCTTGGTACATGGGTGCAAATCACAATAGCTGTTATTTATACAGCACCAGTCAAATAATGAATCATTGCAAGTTGCTTCACAGGAGCGTTATGAAACAATGTCAGGGATTCACTTAAAAACAGAAAATATCAGAGAAACTCAGCAGGTCTGGCAGTATTTGTGGAAAGAGAAACAGAGTTATCTTTTCAAATCTGACATAACTTTTTCTCAGATTATGAAGAGTCATTCTAGACTTGAAACATTAACTCGGGTTCTCTCTCCACAGATGCTGCCAGACCTGCTGATTTTCTCCAGAACTTTCTGATTTCACAAAAGTATTTCTAGTAATAAATCATTGATACTTTTATTTACACTATTTATTTGTCTGAACCCTAGTTGATCTGAGAACATGGTCATTATTCTAATGGGTTTGCCAGGACACTTCACACTCAAGAATGAAGAATCAACAAATATGTGCTTGGAGTCAAATGTAGACCAAGCCTGGGCAAAGATGGAGAGTTTCCTTCACTAAAAGACTTTTACGAATCATTTGGACTTTTAATAATGGCAACTGTGATTTGCTTTGAGCTATTTGCACAGTGGCTCAGTGGTTGGCACTGCTGTCTCACTGTGCAAGGGACCTGGGTTTGATTCTACCCTCAAGCAACTGTGGAGTTTGTACATTCTCCCCGTATCTGCGTGGGTTTCTTTCGGGTGCTCCAGTTTCCTCCCACAGTCCGAAGATGTGCAGGATAGGTGGATTGGCCATGGGTGATCATGGGATTGGGTGGGATGCTCTTTGGATTTGATTTATTGTTGTCACGTGTACCTATATACGGTGAAAAGTTTTGTTTTGCATTCAGTATAGGCAGATCATAATATATAAGGACGTAGAGACGATAGGGTGAACAGAGTGAGGCACGCACAGTTATGGTTGCACAGGAGGTGTACAAAAGTAAGATCAATATTAGATTCAAAATTTGAGAGGTCCATTGAGCTGTCTAATAACAGTGGGGAAGACGCTGCTGTTGTACCTGTTGGCATGTGTGTTTAAGCTTTTGTATCTTCCACCTGATGGGAGAGCTTGGAAGAGATTATAAACGGGATGGGAGGGGTATTTGATGATGTTGGCTGCTTTTCTGTGGCAACAAGAAGTGTAGATGGAGTCAATGGATGGAAGTTTGGCTTTCGTGATGGTCTGGGCTGTGTACACAACTCTCTGTCATTTCCTATGGTTCTGGGCAGAGCAGTTTCTGTACCAAGTTGTGATGCACCCAGATAGAATACTTTCTATGGTGAAGAGAAGAAGAGAAGAGAAGTATGGTACAGGAACAGGCCCTTCGGCCCTCCAAACCTG